GGCCGAAGGTGGGTGGATCTACGGGAAGGTCAGGGAGTTCAAGACCAAGCCTAGCCAAATTCGTGAAACCCATCTCTACTTAAAATACAAAAATTAGCCAGGCGTGGTGGCAGTGCCTGTAGGTCCAGTTACTGCGGAGGCTGAAGCAGGAGAATTACTTGGAACCCGGGGGGCGAGGTTGGTGATGAGCCTGAGGTCGCACACTTCACTCCAGCCTGGCGTAACAGAGGGAGACTCCGTGTCTCAAAAAAAAAAAAAAAAAAAGAGAGAGAAGAAGGTGGGCCAGTCGGCCCAACCAGGGGCAAACCCTGTCTTCATATTCTTGTTTCTTGGTAATCAGATGTTCTCAACTAACGCTGGCTACACCATCAGCAAGTCAGTGGTTGTCCATGTGTGAGGATTTCGACAACCATGAAGTCAGCTGAGACCTTGCAGGAACCGAGGGACTGAGGACTCCTGCTACCTGGGACCCTTCGTTTCCTTCCCTGACTAGCTACTCCTGTTTTTGCAGTGGATTCTCTCCCAGAATAAGATGATGTGGGAGAGGCCCAGGTCCTAGGTGTGGCTTAAGGTTTCCACTTTTCTACACTAAAGAGAACTAAGCTGAGGCCATCATGGTCCAGGGACAAGGGGCTGTCCCTTGTATCTTGGAGAAAAATTTTGTCTTAGCTCCAGTAACCTTTTTGTGTCCAGAGTTGGTTTCTGCTGGTGGGGTTCCTGGTCTCACTAACTTCAAGAATGGAGCCTCGGACCTTCCCGGTGCGTGTTAACAGCTCTTAAAGATGGCACAGACCCAAAGATTGAGCAGCAGCAAGATTTATTGTGAAGAGCCAAGGAATGCAATAGAACTAAAGCTTCCACAGCGTGGAACCGCACCCTAGTGCGTTGCCACTGCTGGCGGGGAGGTGGCCAGAGTTTATTCCCTTATTGGCCCTGCCCATGTTCCGTTTCTGTCCTATCAGAGTGTGCTTTTTTCAGTCCTCCCTTCGATTGGCTACTTTTAGGATCCTGCTGATTGGTGCGTTTCACAGAGTGCTGATTGGTGCATTTTCCAGAGCGCTGATTGGTGCATTTTACAGAGCACTGAATGGTGCATTTTACAATCCTCTTCCTAGCCATAGAGCACTGATTGGTGCGTTTTTACAGAGTGCTGATTGGTGCATTTTGCAATCCTCTTGCTAGCTACAGAGGGCTGATCGGTGCATTTTACAATCCTCTTGTAAGACAGAAAAGTTCTCCAAGTCCCCACTCGACCCAGGAAGTCCAGCTGGCTTCACCTCTCATTTTATTCGAAGAAGGGTGCCTTGCTTTCCTTCTAAATCAGGCCTTCCTACTGTCTTTCAGAGGGGTGTGTGTGTGTGTGTGTGTGTGTGTGTGTGTATCTGTTTCTCCCTCTACATCACAAGCTCCATAAAGACACAGACTGGGAATGGGAGCAGTGGCTCATGCGTGTAATCCCAGCACTTTGGGAGGCTGAGGAGGGAGACTGAGTCCAGGAGTTGGAGACCAATGGTGAAGCCCGTCTCTACAAAAAAAAAAAAATTAGCTGGGAGTGGTGGCTTTCACCTCTAGTCCCAGCTACTCCGGAAGCTGAGGTGGGAGGATCACTTGAGCCTGGGAGGTTGAGGCTGCAGTGAGCCGAGATCCCGCCACTGGACTCCAGCCTGGGTGACAGAGCAAGATTCTGTCTCAAAAAAACAAAACAAAACAAAAACATGAAGACCCGGACTGGGTCTGTTTTGTCTACTTCATGTGTTTCCTGGCTCATATTTGTCAAATGAATGAATAAATGAATGAATGCTTCTTAAGATCCGGGTCCTGGGCCTCAAAGTGGAGGCAGATCTTCTTGTCTGTTTTTTTCTTTTCTTTTCTTTTTCTTCTTTTCTCTTTTAACTATATATTTTTTTAATCAGGCAACTTCCCGAGCCAGAGTATACTCAGAGAGATCTCCTGTCTTTGTCTGTTTACTGAAGTGTTTCCAGCTTGCAGAGTATTACTTTCAATTCTGCAAAGAGGAGGTGGGGAGGGCAGCATGCACTAAGAGGTTCCTCCCCCCATCCCCCTGCCCCCAGGAAACAGATGGTAAAATGCTTAAGACACTGCTGCTTCCCTCAGCACCCTCGGTGCCCCAGCCCCCAGCCCCAGACTTGGCTCCTTCTCTGCTAAGGCTGAAATGCAATCAGCCCAGATGGGCTCTGGCAGTCAACTCTATCCTTCTAACTCTGGGCACTAAATTGGGTGGGATGAAAGTCTGTATTTAGTGAGCTATTTTCCTTCTTCCCGCAAACTTCCCAGCCTTCCTCAATCCTCTTAAACTTGTGTTCCCATTCCTTTTTCAATATTCCAAGTGCCATTTCTCAGGCTGTAGCTTAACTCATTCTACATCAGTCTGATAGCAACACATTCCTCCTGTGTGCCGGGCTCCGGACCAGTCAGGGAGTGCGGGTGTCATACGCTGGTTAACAAGATATGAACCCCACCCTCGGACTCACAGTTGATGGGAGGAAACAGACTTGCCGGTCTATAATCCCAGTGTAGGGAAAAGCCCCATGTAGCTGGAGAACCAAGCAAGGGCTGGGGAAGCAGGTGGCTTTTATGGCAGGGGAGCTAAAAGGTCTCAGGCATTCTCTTTTCTGAGAAGGTGAAAGGCACTCAAGGAGGAAATGCAGAAGCAAAGGTACAGTCAGAAAGAGCTGGGCATGTGTAGACAGGAACCAGTAGATGCAGAGCCTGGGAGATAAACCTGCCAAGGCAGGTGCGGTCTGTTCGTGGAGGCTCTTGAATGTCAGATCAGTCAAGTGCAGACTGATCTGAATCCAGTGAGCAATAGGGAGCCATTGAAGGTTTATGAGCTGGGGGAGTTACAGACTCTGAGCTGTGCTTTAGGAAGATTAATAGGGCCATAGAGAGGATGCCCTGGGAAAGGAGAGCTAGAGGCAGGGAGACCAGTTAGAGTTGTTACCTTAATGGAGGGTCGTTACCTTAGTGGAGGCTGTAGGAGGGCAGTGCAGTGGGGTGGAAGGAGCTGGCTCCCTGGTGTGTTGGCTGGATCTCCTGCTAACCACCTCCGCAGCCTGAGGGCGCGTTGCCTTTTAGACTTCTCCTTTTGTTATCTGTTTGTTTGTTTGTTTATTTATTTATTTATTATTTTCCCCCCCAGCTTAAGCAAAGGAAGAAATTCACAAGCAACAACAGAAAGCTCCCCCTTCCATACCCTCCTCAGATCTGGCCTCCTGGTTCTCTATTGGCTCATGTACTCCTCTGCCAGGTATCTGGGGCCTCTCTGCAGGGTCTCCAGCTGGAGGATCTCTCTTCATGTTCCATCCTTGTCTTCAGGTGCACACTTCCGGGGATCAGGAAGCTGTGCCTGGGCAGTGGGTTTGTCAGTGAATTGCAGGAGCACTGATTTATCCTAGAAGTTGCCAAGCACCAAGGGGAAACCCTGCCTTTCCCCAGGAGAACACACTTTGAGTGGGCCCCCAAGACCCATGCTAGTGAACCGACTGAAGATCTGTGGAGGGTTGGAATATTCTCCCAGCTCAGAGAGGATCGGTGAGCTCTGTCTGTACTACACAGCTGGTAGATACAGAAAGTGGGTCGCCTGGGGTTTTGCTTCAGTCTAGTGCCCTAGACATGGCACTCAGAGAAGGGAGAGCTGGGATCCGGTTCTGGGCGCAGTGCGAGTCTCCGCTGATTTGCGGTGGTGCATCCCACCCGGATAACTGTGGAGTTTTCGCAGGGCGAGGGGGAGAACTGGAGCTTGAAACACCCATATTCCTTGTACCTCTCGGGCCCTGGACAGGCAGCTCTTAGTCACTGGGGTGACAAAGCGCCCGCGAAGGGCCAGCGTCCCAGAGGGTTCCCAGGTCAGGTTGGTGACGCGTGGGGCTTCCCTAACTTCATAGGCAAAGCCTGCCAGACCCTCCCCCGGGGAGCGGAGCTCCGAGCACCAGTGCCGACTCCGCTCCTGAGGCCGCTGAGCCCTCCTGCAACTGTCCGGCCCGGGAAGTGCCATAGGACAGCTGATCGCCAAGTTAATGAGCATCTTCGGGAACCAGGGTAAGGGGCGCACAGGGCATCCAAGCGAGCGCTTTGATCTCGCTCTCTTCTGGGACTCCTCTGATCTGGGGTCAGACGCACTGGGGACCTCGGGCTCCGAGGGTCGTATATGGGCGCTCCTTGACTGCCGCGCGGCCTCCCCTGCCCCCGTCCCTGCCTGCTCCTCTTGGATCCTCGAGCTTTGGTGCGCCCCGGGACGCAGGGCTGGGCAAGCCTGCTTTCTCCCCGCTAAACGGCGCCAGCGGCGGGGATGGGGGGCTGCTGCGGGTTTCCTGCGACTGTGACTTCGCGTTCGGCTCTTTCTCCAGACACCGTCTCGCGGCAAGCCCAGAGGCGCCCCGGGCCTTTCAGACTCTTCTAGAATGTGAAGGGAGGTGGGGGCTCAGCTGTCTTTTCCACCGTCCCGGAGTGGGGCAGGTGTCAGGGCTGGATAGGAAGCAGACACGCTAAGGTGGGCAGAGGTCCCCAGCATGCGGGGAGCGCTATCTCCTTCCTGGGAGGTCTGGTGGGGGCACACAGTCCCTTGGCCATCGGGTTTGGCCCTGACGCTGCCCTTCCTCGGATGCTTCCAGAGCAGAAGGTTATCATCATGGGACTGGACAATGCGGGAGAGCACCATTCTCTACCAGTTGTAAGTGACTTTCGGGCGGTGAGGGTAGAGGGCTGGGCCTCCCACCAGACTGACAGGCATGGGGACCAATCACTAGAGCTCTTCCCTGGGTTACAGGGCTCCTCTCTACCCAGAGGAGTGATTGAGAACGCTGCTTGGACCTTCCTAGTACTGCGGCTCCTCGGCCTGGCATTCAAATCCTGCACCGTACGGGCAACCCTAGCTCCCACTGCTTTCCTCCATCTTCCCGGGGCCCCTGCCAAACCCAGCTCCAGGCCTGCCAAGTGTCCCAACCTGCCTTCCTGGTCCTCGCTCCCTCTAGCGGCAGGTCGCCCCTTTCTCACCCCTGTCCCCTCTGTCAGTTAACTTTCTTTCCCTTCTTCAAACCCAAAGGCTCACTGAGTCTCTGTAGCTCCTGGTCTAGAAGCCTGGCACGTATGGGTGGGGCTGAGTAAATACCGATCGCAGCTTTCCCCGATATTCGCTCTCTGGATGGCACCTCTCCCATTTTAAGCCTCCAAAGTACTTTACCTAGGATAAGCTTTTCCATGAAAAAGTAATACATGTAAATGATTTTTAAAAAGCATGAAGGAAAATTTCAAACAATGGAGGAATACACAGTGAAAAGTAAGTTTCCTTCTCGCCTCTAGCTCCTAGTTTTCCTCCTATTGTAACTTTGCGGTAACTTTTCAGAAACATTATTTACATATAAAAGCATGTGTATGTTTTCTATGTCACTTTAAACAAAGCACCTCTCTGATGTCCCTCACTGTGTCTATTTTTCTAAACTTTTGCTTCTCAAAGTGTGGTCTACAGACCAGTCACATAGGCATCACCTGAAAGCTTATCAGAAATGCAAAACCGTGGCTGGGTGGGGTGGCTCACACCTGTAATCACAGCACTTTGGGAGGCCGAGGCGGGCGGATCACCTGAGATCAGGAGTTCAAGAGCAGCCTGGCCAACATGGTGAAACCTCGTCTCTACTAAAAATGAAAATTAAAAAATAAATAAAATTTAAAAAAAGGGCTGGGCACAGTGACTCAGCCTTGTAAATCCCTAATTAAAAGTTTTGAGGAGACCCGAGGGCGAGTGGATCACCCAGGACAGGAGTTCGAGACCAGCCGGCAAATATGGTGAAACCCTGTCTCTACTAAAAAAAAAAAATTAGTCGGACGTGGTGGCACATGCCTGTAATCACAGCTACTCTGGAGGTGAGGAAGGAGAATCACTTGAACTCGGGAGGTGGAGGGTTGCAGTGAGCCGAGATCACACCCACTGCACTCAGCCTGTGGCAATGGGAGGATACCTCCATCTCAAAAAAAAAAAAAAAAAAAATAGCTGGGCATGAGTGGCACCGCGCCTGTAATCCCAGCTACTCTGGGAGGCTGAGGTAGCAGAATCGCTTGAACCCAGGAGGCGGAGGTTGCCAGTGAGCTGAGATTGCACCACTGCACTCCAGCCTGGCGACAGAGACTATATCTCAAGAAAAAAAGGGGGCGGGCGCGGTGGCTCACGCCTGTAATCCCAGCACTTTGGGAGGCAATGGCAGGCGGATCACGAGGTCAGGAGATGGAGACCCATCCTGGCTAACCTGGTGAAATCCCGTCTCTACTGAAAAAAAAAAAAAAAGTACAAAAAATTAGCCAGGCGTGGTGGGTGGCGCCTGCAGTCCCAGCTGCCTCGGAGGCTGAGGTAGGAGAATGGCATGAACCCAGGAGGTGAAGCTTGCTGTGAGCCGAGATCACCGCCACTGCAATCCAGCCTGGGCGACAGAGCAAGATTCCATCTCAAAAAAAAAAAAAAAAAAAAAAAAGAAGAAGAAGAAGGAATGAAATAATGCAAAACCGTGGCTGGATGCGGTGGCTTACACCTTAATCCCAGC